TCATGCAACGTATTCTCAGAAAATTCTGTCAGAATTATACCTGGAGCACATCGTAAGGTTACACGGAGTGCCATTGTCTATCACGTCAGATCGTGATACGCGTTTCAATGCAAGGTATTGGAGGAGTTTCCAAGAAGCCATGGGAACAGACTTGAACTTCAGCACAACATTTCATCCTCAGACTGATGGGCAATCTGAAAGGGTAATTCATATTCTGGAGGATATGCTTCATGCTTGTATTCTGGAATTTGGTGGAAACTGGAAGAAATACCTGCACATAGCTGAGTTCACCTATAACAACAGCTATCATGCCAGTATTGGAATGGCACCATTTGAAGCTCTGTATCTTCGTCCTTGTAGGTAACCTGTGTGTTGGTAGGAATCAGAGGATCGACTGAGCACTGGACCGGAAGTCATTCAAGAGAATAATGAGAAGATAGCTGTGATTCGGTAATCAATGCAGGAACATTTCCCATTCCTGATGTGATGAAACCTGTTTGAATCTCTCACCACTATTTCTCTCCCCGTGGCCATCGATATGTACTTAATTGCAGTGTGACAGTCCCCACAAATACGGAGATTCTTAAATATTCTGATTGGTTTTGATCTTGTTGTGTTGATAAGCCCAAAAGCCACTGCTATCTTCTCACTGTGTTGAAGCAAATACTGCTCTTTTACCTCCTCTTCCACATCATGAAGCACGAAATCCGTATTCGGGACATAACCCAATTCCTTAATTTTCAAGACCAATCTGTCCAGTTCATTATAAATCTCACTAGCTTTTGGGTGTGAAGTATCCCCAACATGAAACTTGTACACCTTATTCTCCACCTCTATCCAGCTCGAACCCGCTTCTTTAGTCAAGTCTCTCTCTTTCATCCTCTTTCTGATTTTAGCCACTTCTTCCCATTGATTCATGGAAGCGTGCAAGTTTGCTAGCAGAACGAATGCCGCGGGATTGTGTGGGTCCTGCTCGAGAATCATGCTTGCAGCATGTCTTGCAAGCTCTGTGTTCCCATGAACTCGACAAGCTCCGAGAAATGTGCGCCAGATTAATGCATCAGCCATGAAAGGCATTGAGTTTATAAACTCAAGTGCCTTGGAAAGTAATCCTGATCTACCTAATAGGTCAACCATGCATGCATAATGTTCCATTCTTGGGACTATGCCATGTTTGGAGTACATTGTGTTAAAGTGTTTCCGTCCCTCGGAAACCAAGCCGGCATGGCTGCAAGCTGATAAAACAGCAGTGTAAGTAACCTCATTTGGTCTAATACCAGACTCCAGCATTTCGTAGAACATCGTCAAGGCCCTCTCTGCATATCCGTGTTTCGAAAATCCTGTAATAATTGAAGTCCAAGATACGATATTCCGATCAACCATCTCACTGAAAACTTGAAAAGCGGCTTCTACGTTTCCACACCTAGAATACATGGAAACCAAAGCATTAGAGATGCATTGATTTGAGTCGAACCCTGATTTCAGTGTCCGAGCATGAATTTGCTCTCCCTTACCAATTGCACCAATGCTAGCAGCTCCGCTCAAGAGACTAGAAAATGTGTAAGCGTTTGCACCAAACTCCACATCATCAATTTCATGGAAAAGATCAAAGGCTTCTTTAGACTCGAAACTTTTGACATATGCGTCAACAATCGTGTTGTAAGAAATCAAATTCTTATCAAACAAGTTGTCAAAAGCTTTTCGGGAATATTCCATCTGCCTAGACTGCGCATACATGCTAATGAGCGAGTTTCCGACGCAGTTGTCAGATGCAAGGCCTAGTTTAACCGCAAGGGAATGAACTTGTTTACCTGTACTCAAATCTGAAAGACTTGCACTCGCCTTAAGAATACTAGAAAACGTAAAATGGTTTGGTCGAACATGACCAGAGACCATTTCACAACAGAGTTTTATAGCTTCATGCTAACGACCACCGTTCCGTACATATCCAGTAATAAGTGCAGTCCAAGACGTAACATTATGATTTGTCATATGATCAAAAACCTTCCTTGACTCATCCATCGATCCATCAGCCGCACATTTCGCATACAAGTCCACCAGACAACAACCAACATAATGATTAAATGCCAATCCCCGCCGTATTACCTGCGAATGCAATTGTTTTCCGAACGACAAGAGTTCTAACTCCGCACAAGCTGACATAACACTGCTAAAAGTAAATTGATCAGGTACAAGATCACTCAACACCATATCCAAAAACAAATCAACAGCCTCTCTGGCGAAACCCAATTGCGCAAACCTCGTAATCATCAAAGTCCAAGTCACCACATTCTTCTCAGGCATTTTATCAAACACCTTATACGCAGAATTTAAATCACCGCCGCCCTTGGCAAACATATCTATCAACGAACACCCAACACACAAATCAGCCTTAAAATACCCACTTTTGATCACAAACCCGAAAATCGTTTCGCCAATGGATAAATCCCCCGTATCCAAACACGCCCTAAATACCGCCGCGAAGCAATACTCGTCTGGCCAAAACCCATTTTCGAGCATGTCGAGAAACGCAACAATAGCTTCGAATCCCAAGTCGTTGTTCGCAAAGCAAGACACAATCGAAGTCCAAGACACCAGGTTCCTCTTGTTCCCCATGCTTCGAAAGATCGAATCGGCCTTTTCCCAGTCGCCATTTTTGGAGTACAAGCTTATCAGAGAGTTGAGAGTGAGGGAATCAAGGTCGAGTTTTGAGTTCACCAAGTGTGCGTGGACGAGCTTTCCGAGCTCGAAATTGCGGGACCTGATGCAGGACTTGAGGAGGAGGGAGTAGGAGGGGAGGTCTGGGTGGGCCCCGTTATGGACCATAAGATCAAGGGTGGAGATTGCTTTGCTGAGGCGGCCCACATTGAGGTCGTGGATCAGACGGCTCTTGTGTGGCTCAAAATTGAAGCTTTTCGGCGACAGTTTTTGGTTTGGCTGTAAAGCTGGTTTAAGCGCAAGGCTCGTCATCAATCATCGACCCACCAGCATCAATCGACTCTGCTCAGCAACTTATAGACAAGAAAAAGAAAAAGAAAAAGAAGAAACAAAAAAAAAAAAGAAACTTTTTGGAATTCAGCAAGGTATAAAGCTCAGAAGTACCTTTAGCTGTTCCTTTTCCAAAATATCCCTGTTATACCCCTACTATTCGAGTTCAATGGTAATAAGTAGTAACGGATTGTGACATATAAATACCTGAGAAAATGAAACCATTAGAAATTGTCCTATTAGACATATATTTTTATTTTGACGTGATTTTTCATTAGATTAAAAACGTAAATTATTAGTACAAAAATACTTCAAAATTTATATTAAAAATTAAAAACGTATTATTTTTTTATTAGTGAGTGTATCGCACACTTATAATATTGTTCTCATACAAAATGAGCCCCTACCTCAAATAGCCTTGCTTTTGGAATTGTAAGTTATAATGATTGGTTAAAAAGTCATTACTGATAATCATAACTAGTTATGTATGTTTAATGGGGTTTTTTGGAATAGTGGCCGCCAAATCTACCAGGAAGAATTGTATGACTTGTTTTTTAGATTAAAATTCAAAAAAAATTTGAACTCAAGTTACAATTTTATATAAGTTCATATTCTTTTATAAAATTTGAGTTTGAACTTAAGTTTTAACTCGAGTTGAGGCTAAAATCTGAGTATAAGTTCTCCTTTCAACTCAAGTTCTTAAACTCAAACTCAAGTCAATTAATAATATTTTTTCTATTCTTAAAAACACTATAACTTTTTCATTTTAATTCCAATTGAGATTTTTTTTTCTATGCATTCATAACGAAAAGATGAATAAAACCTCAACCATATACCCTATTATAATTTTCTATTACCATTGAGTTTTTATTAAAATACTATTTAAATACAAATTCAAATTTTGACTCATATAAATACAAACTCAAATGGATTCTCAATTCAAATCATAACTTAAATGTGCACATCTAAACACAAACTCAAGTTACAACTTTAACTCAAATTATAACTCAAATTCAACTTAAGATTTACACTCAAGTTATTCCAATCATACAGAAAAGACTGTTTGGAAATTGCTGTTAATAAAATCTATTATACAGTAATTAATTGTTCCACTGTTTAATATTTAGTATTTACTCTGTTCAGCCACTTTTACATGCCCACTTTATGATTTTGAATGTTTTATTATCTATATTATTTCATTAATTCAACTTGATCGCTCCTGTAGGAGCCTAATCACACCAGAAACGAATAAATACTCGTCACTTTCCCTGTATGGCAGAAATTGCTAATACTTAACAGAATAATAGATTTTGTTCCATGAACAGACAAGATTTTTCACCAACTATCAAAACAATTTTTGGTGCCTATTTTCAATGGTAAAACAGCCGATAGTCGCTTACTCTAACTCTGAAATGACTAATAATTCTTGGTGGACAAATCTTCCGGGCATGTTTGTAACATTCTTTCTTTGAGCTGGACCTTTTGCAAATGGATTAGGAGGCATGTTTATCTCCTCCTTTCCTTCCAACATTTTCACAACAACATTCATGGAAGGACGATCCACTGGCTGCCACTGAATGCACCAGAGTCCCACAACCGCAAGTCTCTTTGCGGTTTTCGAGTCTTCCTCTTCCTTGATGTCGATTTCCAAGTGTTCCCCTTGCTCCAAATGCTTATAGATCCATTCCGGCAAGTAGAATTCCTTAGTGTTTTCCATTAATGAGACATCAAGATTCTCCCTCTTACTACCAACCATTTCAAGCAACAACATTCCAAAACTATAGTCATTTGACTTGTAAGAAACGTCGCCAAAGTTCCTAGAGAATACTTCTGGAGCAATGTATCCCATGGTACCTCTAGCCGCGGTCATGGACACAACACTTTGATCCTTAGAACACAGCTTGGCCGTTCTGAAATCAGAAACTTTCGGAGTGAAATTATGGTCTAAAAGTATGTTATGAGGTTTGATATGAAAATGTAGAATCCTTTGGTCGCATCCTTGGTGAAGATACTCAATTCCCTTGGCTATGTCAAGAGCAATATCTTTTAGCTTTCCCCAATTAAGGAAGTTTCCTTTAGACTCCATTGGAGATATGAACTTCTGCAGAGAACCGTTTGGTAAGAACTCGTAAACGAGAGCTCTTCTAAATCTGTCAGCGCAGAATCCAACCACGCGAACCACATTCACATGGTGGATTCGACCGATTATTCTGACTTCATTGATGAACTCTTCCCCCTTTCCTTTAGAATTGGTAAGGACTTTAACAGCTACACATACTTCATCTGATAGCCTCCCTTTGTACACAGTTCCATAAGCACCTTGGCCCAGTTCATCACTAAATTGATTTGTTATCCTCTTAATATCAGCATAGGAGTATCTTGCTGGCTTAAAAGCTTCATAATCTGCCAAAAACCTTTCAATCTTAAATTGGTTTTCTTCCTCTATTTTATTCTTCCTGTGAACCTAGTGCGCGAAAAAGGGACCTATAATAGAACCTGCATTATTCAGAAGACATAATGAAGAACAATTAAATTTTTTTTTTTTAAGTAATAAAAAATCGTATAAAGTTCTCAGATAGACAAAACTACCTGAAACCACTAGTTTTGTTATTACACCTGAAAGAAAAACAACAACAAGAACAACAATTAAAAGGAGCAGAACAAAGATAAAGAAAATTAAAGAGATTGTTAAGGGCAAACTCAATACCTTTACTGGATTTGGGAGATCTGTGACACTCAATTACTGGTTTTTAGCTGTTTGAATTTAGTGTACATCTTTCGCCTTGTGCTTCACGTTTAGAGCAATTTGGTGTAGACCAACTCAAGAGAAGTTCAGTTTCCTCCTTAAGTGTATCATATGGAATAGAAAATATTTCATACATCTTGGTACATGAGACATGATTCACATCTCTAATTTTATACCAAGACTGAACACGGTAAAGTCTGTGTCCGGAGGTGTTAAGGCAAGGAGAGAGATCGGTCAAGAACAGCTGATTAGTAATATCCTCAGCTTCACAAGAAAATACAGTCAAGTCCATGGTTGAATTGATGGTGTACTGGAAGGGAGAGGAAGACAAGTTGTGATTCTGAATTAGTCCCGTTAAGCAACTCCCCGGATCTGATACGTGAATTGTCTGCAGCTTGTAATCGATCTTTTCGACAAAGAATTTTGCTAAAGTTGGAAGCTGAAGCAGAGTCCGGTTCTCTTTGGTGCAAGTTAGATCGAATGATTGCGAGTAACTGCAGTGTTGCGGTTGGCTTCCTTTGAGTCGGAAGGGAAAGCGAATGGCTGGGCCGTGGTGGCTACATCTTGTTTCAGTGCAGTCATTCTGGCTTGCAGTTCTGAGCTGTGCATTACAGGTAGTGATCAAAGAGAAGGAAAGCAAAATAATTATCATTTTAGAACGTCTTCTGCACCACATCTTTGAGAGAGCAGAGTATTGATGCCTGTTTCTTTGCTTCTAAGTTAGACTGGGTGAGTTTTGCTTTTTGATTTTTTAATCTGATCACCTCGTATATTCATTACGTTATTTCTTTATTGAAAACAATTATCATTTCGTAACACTTTATGGTCAAGAAATCTCTAAGCAGGTATAAATTAGATCAAGCCATTCTCCACTCTGCATAAACTACATATTCAAATCATTGTCAGCTAATTTGTCACGAAAGTGAGCGTGATTAAAGCGTAATTGTTGGCCCTTTAGTTTATTCTTTGTATTCGGTCAATGGTCCAAGTCAAAGGTGGAAAATTATATTCATAGATGTATGCTTGTTAAGCCCCAACATTCTATTCTTTTATAATTTTCCTCTTATGGTATTTACAAAAAAAAAAAAAAAGGGTCAAATTCCTCTTCTTATGCTACTTGGCAGGCTTGAAAAAGTTGACTTTCGGGTAACGCTTGTTTGCATCACTTACAGTAGAGTATTGCATTAGAAATTTTAAGAAGGGCATTTAAGGGAGGAAAAAGGAAGAAATTTCTTCATAAAAAGTTAGAATTGCATTAGAAATTTCTGCACAGTTTCTTTATCACAAAGCCAATGTAACAAGTTTTATACAAGAAGCATAGATAAAGGCATTATTAAAATAAGCTTTCCTCTGTACATTCTCAAACTAAAAAGCTAGAATCTTGTCTCCTAATTTTTTTCTAGACTCGAACAGTTGTCAGTAGAGGTCATGTCTCCTGATTGTATGGATGATGACCATGTTGTGGATGAACCGTCTCCAAGATCCTCTGCTAGCTCCTCATGTGGATAGAAGGAGAACTTAGTAGGAGGCATTTCTAAGCGCTCAATCTTTTCTTCGAGCATCTCTACGACTTTGCTCATCGAAGGACGGTCGGAAGGCTTGAACTGTATACACCATAATGCTACTATCATCATCTTCTTTATTATTTTGGATTCCTCTTCTGTGGCATCTCCCAAATCAATGTCCTTGTCATCACTGAATTGATTAGACACCAATGAAGGGAAGTGAACTTGGCTTGAATTCTCTGCAGCTGAATTCACATTCTTCCTTCTACTTGCCATTTCCATTAATAACATCCCAAAACTATACACATCAGCTTTGTATGAAACTCCTCCAATATTTTTGTAAAACAACTCTGGAGCTATGTATCCTAGAGTCCCTCTAGCTGCAGATAGTGAGACAACATTGTTGTCTAAAGGGCATAATCTTGCTAGCCCAAAATCAGAAACTTTTGGAACAAAATTCTCATCTAGAAGAATGTTGTGAGGCTTGATATCAAAGTGCAGAATTTGCATTTCACATCCTCGATGAAGATATTCGATTCCACGAGCCACTCCTAGTGAAATCTCAAACATCTTCTTGCAACTCAAAGCGTTAGTTCCTTCATCAGAAAATATGTGTTTATCAAGAGACCCTTTAGGCATGTAGTCATAAACAAGAGCGCGCTTTGATCCCTCAACACAAAATCCAATAAGTCGCACAACATTCACATGGTGAATCCTTCCTATGGTTGCAACTTCGTTTATGAAGTCTTCCCCATTAGATTTTGAACTGCCTAACACCTTGATTGCTACTAGACGACCACTACGAAGCTTTCCTTTATGCACAGAACCATAGCCTCCTTCACCCAATTTTTCCTTAAAGCCTCTACTCATCTTTTTGATATCTGAATATGAGTATCTTATAGGCATCAGGTTGTTATAACTTTGTAAAAATTCTTCGATTTTGTCATACATTGATAAATGCCGCCTTCTCCATTTGTAGATGAGAAAGATAAACACAAATGGACACCCAAATACGAACCTTGCTGCTAACAACAGTCCTGCACGAGTAATTGCCCAAAAGAAAATTGAGTGAAACTCTCTAATTGAGAAATTTTTATACAATAATGTTTCCTCAAGTCCAAATACATTCTTTCTAGTTTCGGTTATATTATGAAAGAGTAAGGATCTTACCAGTAAATATTGGTATGGCGTAGCGGGAAGCTTCAAGAAAAAAAGAAAACAAGAATCAGAGAGCTATTCAATAAGATGATTATAAAAAAATACATACAAGTTGTACACTATTGCATAGCTTTATATGTCCAAATAAACTTTTTTTATGGAGAGAATGATATTTTGAGTATTTTCTCTATAACCAATTCAGATTCCCCAGAAATGAAACCTACAAAAGAAATTCACAAGACAAACAGAGAGAAATTTTACCATCAAAGAAACTCCAAATGTCCCTCAAAATCTGTTTGAATGACTCTGCATCACAAAGACAACAGCCAAAAACAACATGATCAGCTCATTTCAACTCACAAAACCTTGAAAATATTCAGACACATAATCAAAAATGTTTTTTCTTCTTTTTTTTTTTTCCCAGTAATGTGACTTTTTCAATTACTTGTTTCTGTAGGCCGTGGGACGGCGCCCGCTGACCAGGAAAGCTCAAACCCAAATGCCAACTCATTGTGAACGTCCATGAAGGAAACATTGCTGCCATTAATATTTCCCAGCCTCGTCACCATAGCCATTAGCTCTACACCGCAGGAATCAACCATATCAGAAACACTTGAGGATCCATTGACCACAACATAAGTATGCCTTTTGGATTGGGACAATGCGCCATTTGTGCAAGAAGAAGTGTCTATGTAAAGTGGAGATTTGACCGGATTCTCGCAGCTCATGAAAGCTATGGACTTTGTATCCAAAACTTGGTTGTATGTCTTCCGGTCCAATTGAGTGAGCGCATAAGGATCGTTCCAACTGAAGTTATAGTATGACAGAGAATAACTTGGTAGAGAGGAACAATTACCTTTCTGGATATTGGGATCCACAATTCTGATGGTTTCATTATTGTAATTGATAGATTCCACTATGTATTTTCCAGAATAAAGATTCAGAACTGTGATGTTGTTCTCACAAGACAGGACATAGCTTTTGTCTCCGCAGTTCTTTGGATCGGCTTTTAGCCGAAAAGGGTAGCTTATTCTTTGGATCTTGCCACAGGAAGAAGAGGAACAAAGATTGTTACCATTATCCTGTGCTTTGCAATTGGAGTTGAAAAGGAAGAGGAAAAGAAAGATCAAGAACCGGAGAGGCATTTTTCTTGGTCGGGAAGAGGCAGAGGAAGTATCCAAAAAATAATAATAATAATTTACAGTATCAAAATCAACAAAGAGTAATTGCTAGAGAGGTATTATTATTGGATCCTTAATCTAACAATGACTTATACAGACTGTCATATAGACTATTGTAAGGTTAAGCCTATTTAAAATTATTTATTAAGATTTGAATAATTTGAGTTTTAATATATTTAATAAGATGTGAGTTTTTAATGTGTAAAAATTTAAAAATAATTTCTATTTTTATGATGAATTAAAATAAAAATATTAGAAGATAATAAGAAAGTTATTATATATAATGACTATGGTATCTAGATTACACATTTTATTCTTTCTGGCATTTCATTATTAGAAAAAGCAAAAAAAAAGTTAAAAGATTATTTAAAAAAACGTATTAATCTAAAAGATAAATTATACAACTCTAAAGAATAATTTATTATCATGAATTTATGTATGCTTTCACTTATTAATCTATTAATTGTTAAATATTTTAAAAATTTTTAGTGAAATTTTACATCTAAAGTATTTTCTAACAATGAGAACTTTTCAATTTTACACAAAAATGGAATGGTCAGAATAATTCGTGTTTGATTCGGACTCGCTCATTCGGGGTGTAATTCGGCTGGGTAGGCTCAGATTGGGCCGAGTCGTACAGTGTGGGTTAAAAAAATTTTAAGCCCCAACATCTTCTTAAGCTCATAAACCTGTATCCCATTAGGTGACCTCGGATAGGCTCGAGTTACTCAGATTGGTCGGCTTGAGCCTGGACATTAGGCCTGTGTCCAAAAACAACATCTGAAACATGTTTGTCATTAAGTGACCTCGGGTAGACTCGAGTTACTCAGATTGGTCGGCTCGAGCCTGGACATTAGGCCTGTGTCCAAAAACAACATCTGAAACATGTTTGCACCCTCAATCTCCTCTTTCCTGTCCGGTAAGTAGATCACAAGGAACTTTTGCCTTGTTCAATCGTTTAGCCACCTCCTAAGCCACAATCTCAAAGGATCACAATACATTCCTGCAAAAAAAGCAAAATAAGCGAACAATCTTACTGTTTATCAAAACCAACTTCATTATTGGGTATTAAACTACCGGAAGCAATTGACTCAAGTCTCTTCAAATCATGGTGAGTCTTGCCACTATTTGTGGGACCCATGTGCAAGAAAAGCTTGCGTTGCTTCCTTCGAGCATTTGGGTAGTGAGAGGGAGAAAGGCTGAGCCTGAGAGCCTCTGGCTCTCCTTCTAAGAAGAAATGGTGAGGGAGTAAGGATGGTGAGGGAGTAGGGACGACGAGGCTAGTAGAGAGAGAGACCGAGAAGTGAGAGAGACTGAGGACTTGGAGAGATGCTGAACGGCGTGAGAGAGATGTGAGAGTGAGAAATCACTGAGTCAATGGCATTTAGAGTTTTTTTCTCACTGATCTCACCCGGTCAGGTAGGTGAGTGCGGGCCAAAGGAAGCCCGCCCTGCGGCCCAACCCGCAATGTGCGGGTTGGGCTTATTTGAATCCGAAAAATAAAAACACACACACACAAAATTCGGGTAGGGACGGGTTGGATCGGAGGGTTAGTCGGGACCCCTTTCGCTCATAACCAGAACTTTCAAAGAAATATTGAGAATCCTAATACTATATCCTGGTCCCAAATCAAAACCAACAACAATCAAATTTTGCACCTTTTCCCACTTGGGCTACTCGGAACAAGTCCAGATTTTGGCAAATACTCACCAAATACCTGAAAAACTTTGGCAATGTCTTCACTTTGCTTGCTGTTTTTGCTCCTGGCATTCTTCACAGACCTCGGAGCAGCCCAAGATCAGTGCAAGCAAATAAGGTGCGGGAAAAACGGCCCGGCAATCCGATTCCCATTCCGACTCAAGGATCGCCACCAGGATCACTGTGGCTTTCGTGGGTTTGAATTATCATGCAGAGGAAAAAGCACAGTTCTGGAGCTACAAACAACACCAGTAAAATTCTTCGTCAAAAGCATAGACTATAAATCCCAGGTGATTCAACTTTACGACCCAGATGATTGTCTTCTCGGAAAGCTCTTGAAGATCAACGGCTTATCGATTTCTCCTTTCGGGGTTTCCAATGATCTGCGTGACTATGCTCTGTTCAACTGCTCTGTTATAGACAGACATAAATTGCACGGAAGGGGACAAATCTTCCCCTGCCTGGGCGGTGGCTATGGCCGCCAAATTGTGGTCGTTAATTCTTTGTACGCCATTGAAGAGGTGCCTTTGACAGGTTGTACAAAGATGTATAACATTTCGTCTGTTGGGTATGTTTTGTATGACATTGATAGAAAGCATCTTTATTTGAATTGGACGAGACCGAATTGTAGTCGTTGCGAAGAGATGGGAAATGGGTGTCGTGTGAAAATTAATGGCACCAGAGATGAAACTGAGTGTTTTATGTATCCCAAATCAAGTAAAGGTAAGATTTTCTTGTGGTTTTCAGGCTTTTCTGTTTTTAAGTTTGACTATTTATAGAAAGTATATAATATATACATTTAGTGGAGTTGTTTTTTACATTTTTGGATTGGATTCTGGAACATGTGGATGTATGGTCTACCCAACCCTTCCAGTTACTTTATAATTAGTCGTGTTCTTAGTAGTTTGCAGTGTTGGAATTAAACAAAACCTTGGAACTTTTTAGTGAACATAAGTGTGAACTAGTTTTATAATCATGAGTATCTTGATTATGGTTGTCTTTTTGCAGGTAAAACGACTAAAATCGTGGCCACCGGTGAGTTTTCTTATTGAAACTTTGACACGTTTGGTTTATAGAAATGATGCAGTGAGTATTTTTTATGACTCAAATGTTCTATTTGTAGGTGTAACCCTTGGTACAGCTGTTCTCACATTACTGCTTGTGGTAACTTATCGCTCATACAGTTCTAATAAACAGGAAAAAGAGAATCAACGGAGAATAGAAAGATTTTTGGAGGATTACAAGGCTCTAAAGCCAAGCAGATATTCATATGCTGATATTAAGCATATTACAAGTCAGTTCAAAGATAAGCTGGGGGAAGGAGCCTTTGGAACCGTGTTTAAAGGAAAGCTCTCCAATGACTTTTTTGTTGCAGTGAAGATTCTCAACAACTCAAAGGAAAATGGGGAAGACTTTATAAATGAAGTGGGAACCATTGGTCGAATTCACCATGTCAATGTGGTTCGATTAGTCGGCTATTGTGCTGACGGATTTAGACGAGCTCTTGTCTATGAGTTCTTACCAAATGGTTCTTTGCAACGGTACATATCTTCGCCTGACACTGATCATTTCCTTGGTTGGAAGAATCTGCAAGATATTGCTTTAGGCATAGCCAAAGGGATTGAATATCTTCACCAAGGATGTGATCAACGAATCCTCCATTTTGATATCAAACCTCACAATGTTTTGTTGGATCACAATTTCACTCCAAAAGTTTCTGATTTTGGTTTGGCCAAGTTGTGTACCAAGGATCAAAGCATAGTGTCAATGACTACAGCTAGAGGCACCATGGGGTACATTGCACCTGAAGTTTTCTCTAGAAACTTCGGAAATGTGTCCTATAAGTCAGATGTTTATAGTTTCGGAATGTTGTTACTTGAAATGGTCGGAGGAAGGAAGATTACAGACGTGACAGAGGATAACACAAGCCAAGTTTACTATCCCGAATGGATCTATAATCTTCTAGAAGAAGGAGAAGATCTAAGAATTCATATTGGGGAAGAAGGAGATTGTGTGATCGCAAAGAAACTCGCAATTGTAGGACTGTGGTGCATCAAATGGCACCCGGTGGATCGCCCTTCCATGAAGGTTGTGGTTCATATGCTCGAAGGAGGAGAAAAGTTAAGCATGCCCCCTAATCCTTTCGCATCTGCGGGTCCAACAAAAACAATTGCCACTTTGCCTGGAAGACGTATGAAGATAGAGTTGGAAGCTATAGCTGAACTAGATTGAGTATAAGATTAGTGCCTTTTTTTTTAATTTTTTTCTTTTTTTACCATCCGTTGTGGATATAAATATTTTGATCACACCAGCTTTATAGTTTATAGTAGAAGCTTAGAACTAAGAAGTGCAATTGTAAATCAAAGGCAGATATTTGTACCTGAATGTGGGATAGCAAGGAATAAAGAAATTTGGCTTGTAGGATTTTTATTTTTTATTTTTTGCATAAACAAAAACTTTTTTTAACAGCATTATTATTAGTATTATTTTTTTTAACAGCATTATTATTTTTTTATGGTTGACTTTTAAGTTGTACTAAAAATGACCAGTACTAATTCAATTCTGTTCCCAATGTTGACGGGAGGGGAAAAAAATAAAAATTTTATGGCTCTTAGAGGGAAGAGGCAAAAAAAGGGGACGAAATAGAAAAGTCCTTGGCCGTGTACATTAGCAGTTCTGATCAAGTACGTAACTTAGAAACGTTATAGTCTGGGGATTGGGATATGACGAAATTTCAAGGAATCCTCATTTTTCGGAGGATTAGATCCATCATCCATAGTTTTCATATACATATGAGCAATCAATAGATTTAGTCATGGACTTGGTTTAGTTGAAATTTCTATGATCTTGCTGGTGGCGTTATCTAACTATCTTTTATTTTGTAGAAATTTCATCCCATAGGGCCTTGTCTTATTAGTGGAAGTTTGCTGGAATATTCGTCTAAAATTTAACTAATCTATTTGGTAGCCATTAAGAAGAAGAAAAAAACAAAAAAAAACAAAAAAAACTATGTAGGCTGTCATTTGATTTTTCGTATATGTTTGTAGCTCTGTCACAATATTTTGGAATGACTTCTCTACAAATTAGGTTGCATTACAGAATCACATTTAAGTTTAAATAGCAAGTAAAGATCAAACATTCCTTGCAAATTAATCAACTAAAAATTTATACCCCCATATATACACACACAATATACATGTATAAGATAAGAAAGAGGGAGCAGAGGATATTCAGAGAGTTTTTGGGTAAAGCAAGAGTTCTGTATTACTCAGCTCATTGAAGCCATACTACAGCAGAAAAGAAATACGTACTAAGACAGATAGTAAAGAGCTAATAAGCTATTACATTTATTTCTTAACAATGTCCCTGACCATAAATTCCCAAATTGACAAGTTACATCATTTCTCCTCATTTGCATTTGGAGCCAAACTTATCTTGGTAGAGTCAGCGAGTCATTTGATGGTAATGATGACTGTGTTTGGCCATTTCTTCTCATTTGCATTTGGAGCCAAACTCATCTTGGTAGAGTCAGCGAGTCATTTGATGGTAATGATGACTGTGTTTGGTGGAATGTCTCTTGAGCATGCTCTACTTGATTCCCTTGAAGGCATAGAGAAGGCTTTGGAGGCAATTGTAGGCAATGAACTTCTCCTTCGAGCATTTCTATGACTTTACTCATCGAAGGGCGATCACTTGGCTTCAACTGAATGCACCACAATGCTACTATTAGCATCTTCTTTATTGCTTTGGAATCCTCTTCAACTATGTCTTCCGTCTCTTCTATTCTCTTTCCTTCACTCAATTTGTCGTAAGCCCATGTCGGAAAGTAAATTTGGCTCGAATGCTCTGCAACCGCGTTCAAATTTTTCCGTTTGCTCGCCATTTCCATCAATAACATCCCAAAACTATACACATCTGCTTTGTAAGAGACTCCTCCGATGTTTTTGTAAAATAACTCCGGGGCTATGTATCCTAAGGTTCCTCTTGCCGCAGTCAAAGACACAATACTGTTTTCCAATGGGCATAATCTCGCTAGCCCAAAATCGGAAACCTTTGGAGCAAAATTCTCATCTAGAAGAATGTTGTGAGGTTTAATATCAAAGTGTAAAATTTGCATACAACATCCTCCATGTAGATATTCAATCCCGCGTGCCACTCCAAGAGAAATTTCGAAGATCGTCCCGCAACTTATGGAGTCAGTTTCTTCTTTAGAAAAAATGTGATTGTCAAGAGATCCATTAGCCATGAAGTCGTACACAAGAGCACGCTTTGACCCTTGGAAGCAGAAGCCAACCAGTTGTACCACATTAACATGGTGAATCCTTCCAATTGTTGCAATTTCATTGATGAAATCCTGTCCGTGACCTTTGGGATTACTCAGCATCTTAATCGCCACAAGACGGCCGCTGCGAAGCTTTCCTTTGAATACAGAGCCATAGCCTCCTTCACCTAACTTGTTCTTGAAGTTTTTGGTCATCTTTTTAATGTCGGAGTATGAGTATCGTATAGGCATAAGGTTGTTGTGGTTATAAAGAAACTCTTCGATGGCAAATGTTGATAAATGATGCCTTCTCCACATATAGATCAAAAAGGCTACCACAAACGGAGCTACAACCGTGAATTTAGCGCCACTGTACATTGCTGCATATAAAACTTACCAAAGACGCGGTTTTCATTCAGTATACAACCTTTGATTAGCAATGTCTTTTTCTTTTCTTTTTTTTTTTAATAAATAAATTGGTTAGCCATATTTGTAAAATTCACAGCGACATATATTGCGTATTATGGAAATTTTGCATGGTGCGTGCGTCTATACCAATTATTACCTAATAGTTATCATACGCACATTTACTAATTACATTATTTTATAATACATAAAATATTAAATTATGCTAGTGGCACGCAAATTTAACATATTGTTGTTTAAATTTATTTAACAGAATCATGCAATTAATATAAAATTTTGGATTTCTACGCTATTAGTCTAGCATAAACATTTTTTTGGCACATTATTCCCTGAATTTATTACTTATTTATTTTTATAATTTTAGTCCCTGATACTAAAATTGATGAAAAAATTCTAAACTTTTAGTAAAGATCTTATCCCTATCAATTGCTAATTTTTTTTATAGATTTGGTTGTATTAACAGCAAAATGTTATAGTTTTCAAGGGTTTTTAAGAGTAATGAAGAGGACATTTTTTCACTTAATATATTGTGACTATTTCTATTAGATTTCACGATATCACACGATGTATACATAATTATTTTTATTGAATAACAAAAATTCAAAGTTAATTTTATGGTTAGGAACTAAAACTGTTAAAAAATAAAAGTTCATACACTAATCTGCTATTAAAAAAGAAATTAGAAACCAGAACGTCATGATGCTTATATATAGTCATGATGAATACGATTAGGATTTTTTTTTTGGTTGACAATTTAGGATGAGGGTGTATTGGTATGCAGCAAATAAATGCTTTCTATTTGCAATTTGCATATAACTAGCTAACGCTTCTGGGATTTTATTTTTATTTCTAAGCTTATGCATTTGAACAAGAGAATATTATTTTTCTTCTCTTTTCTTTTTGTTTTTTATTTTGATGGCTAAGCCAATAATCATGAATGTCCTCATATTGGCTTATCCATATGGAATTTCATATTTCTCTTAAATTACATCACAATATATGAAAGATTACTTCTTACATAATTCAAGCACGAGGAGAAGCACTTGCCAGAAGCTCCCTGTGTCATCCAACATGAGCGTTCAAAACAAAGCAAAGGAAAGAGCAAATCAAGTACGTGAGTAAGGAACTAACACTAAAAAAATAAAATGAAAAGAAACTTTTAGTCACAACATTTTCTTATGACACTTTTTTAGTCACAATCAAAAGTGTAACAAGAGTATATTGTGACAAAAAGTATCCTTTTTTTGTCATATATATAACGTTATTCACAAGATTAAAAAATAAGGAGCCTCTACGGTGAGACTTCTTAGAAAAAACTCACCGGTGGATTAAGTTTTTAACGGTTAAATCTACGCAGGTCCGTATTAAAAATTTACAGCGCGCCGTATAGAACTGCTCCTATGCAGATATGACCGTTGAAAAAATAATCTAACGGTCAAAACAGAATGTTCTACAGTGAGATTTTTTTTAAAGGGTCTCGTCGCAGAGAAAACCTAAAAAATAACTTTAATGTGTTCAAAATATAGAGAAAAGTAGATATATCTGAGTTTGGAAAATAATATTATTGATGAGATTGAAAAATATCGAAGAGCAAGAATAACTCTAACGTCTCTTACCGTCACAATGAAACTCGTTGTAGTAATCGAAATAGCAATTACGTCGCAACCATGTAAGCTCAAACCCATCGGCA